TATAATAAAATAATTAAATTATAATATTTATTCATATTTTAAATTTAATTTATATATAATAATAATAAATATAAATAATATATTTCATTTTATTTTAAATTATATATCTTATAATAACATTTACTAATATATATATATTATTAAATTCATATATCTTAAGATATTTATTAAATAATAAATTTAATTTTATAAATATAAAATTATTTTAAATCTATATTTTTCAAAATTATATTTAATTATAAATATATTTTTTTTAAAAATATTTTTAATATATATTCAAAAATAAAAATATAAGTTGCTACAAAATAATACGCAATATATATCCCGATTATTTTCAACAAATCCAAATGGAATATCCTTTGCTACACATTGCTACACAATTCATTTCAAAAAGTTTCTGTGCTTATTGCACGTCATCCAGAAGTATCTTTTCGAGCCACTTAGCTGCTGTCCACTGTTCAACACGAAATGTATGGACAAAGAACGGTCGATTCCAAACAAAGCAAACTGAAGCGAACCCATGTAAACCACAAGAGTGTAAAAATATTCGTGAATGCTACAGAAAGCAAGCAAAACAAAACAAAAGACAAAGGCGGGATCGCAACACATTATTACTACGCAAAAATTCGCAAAAAGAAAAATAGAATCCGCTTAATATAGCTCGACTATTATTTTGTAGAGGCGACGCCCGCCATGTAGTTTTCGTGGCCAACAGTGAAGCAGCAAACATGCTTTAAAGACAGGTCTTTGGGGAGGAAAACCATCAATGAATCAATGAACCCTAATTTGATTTGTATAAAATGTTTGCTCCGCGTCAAGCTGTATTCTGTGAAATTAATGTTTATACACTGCTGTGCGGTGGATTATTTTGATATGCATCCTCAGTCCGTATCGCATTGTGTTGTGGTAAATTTTCATAATTTTTCCCGATCAACATCTTTACATGAAATATACCAATTTAAGCATATTCTGACAATTCCAAGAAGTGGGTCCAAAGAGCTCTATGAAGGGTTTTCACAAGCGCATATACTACAAAATAACCAGAATATTGTTCCTCTCGATAGAAAAAGAGAGCACACACACACACGCCGAAAAAGAACTTCGAACAACTGTGCTTCGGGGAAAACACTCAGCCAACTCCTGAACTAGTCATTTTGTAGCATCCACGTGCGTGAAACATAGTTTGTAGAGTTCTGTGAGCCCACTTCCTGGAATTGCCTGGAGTTTTTTTTTATGTATCAAATTGGCATATTTCAAATAAACATCTTTGATTAGGAAAATCACAGCATTGTACACGAAGGCACGCAAATGCGGCCCAAGACCTTCACACTTATAAATCCCAAATCATGAAAGTGTCAAATTGTTTGACGAAAAATCCTTCGAAATAGTTCAATGTGTTCCTCGGCCCCTGTGATATTCAGCCTGGTTACATCCCAAGATAAAGACCATAACATAATAAACTACAAAAATTATGCCTGCATGCTTTGGCCCAATCATTCGTTCTTCTGTATTTTTTTTTGTTGGAACCCTATAGTAGGTTGGAGAGCAATGTCGGTCTCTGATTAGTAGCTAGGTTCGCTATTGTGGCAATTTTTTTCCAAACTAATCTGAAACCCATGTATTGTTTGGAGGGTTCACTTTTGTGGCAAAAAATGGGAGAGCTTTTTTTTTTGGAAAAAAAACAACCTGTAATTGCTACAGGTACTACAAGTACTACAGGTACTACAAGTACTACAAGTACCACAAGTTCATCCGCAAAAAACAGTTTTAATTAGATTTCAATTGTAGCCAATTAACATCCTTACTTAAGTGAGGATCTGTTTTTCTCTTGGGAAGATTTTTTTTGACTTTCCACTTTAAAGGGAGTCCAGATATTGTTTAGAGGGGGGGGCCTCACACGAATCAGGAACCAACATCGCAAAGGAAGCCCAAGCCCAATCATTCTTATTCTGTGGCTTTTGTGTTCAAATTTTTGCAGCACGCTAAATATGACACCGCACGCCCAATATACACCCAGAAACTTTCACTCCAAATGTAAAAAAATATTAAAAAAGAACAACATGTGGTTTTTCTCAAGGGCTCCGAAACACTACCATACAAAATCTGCAAAATGCCTCTGCGTTTTTATAATGGCCTAATATAATAGATATCTCAGGAATCTCAGGGGAGAGGTGCTGCAGCCAGTCAAAAAAAACCCTAGTATCATGTTGTTTCGTATTAATCAAAAGGGGAGCCCGGAATCTAGTGAGCAATATTCATAAATCAACTTGTGATGGATAAAATACTCATCTGGATCTAAGAATAAGCATCAAGAACAAACTGTATTTACATAAGAAACATAATCCTGCATTATATCATATGACAAACAAACTCATTTCGACATCACTGACATCAATTATGTAGTATACACAATCAACAATAATTATTTATCAGGAAACAATTTTAAGTAATTGATCGTATTCATCAATCACATATATTATCCATATAATTTATGCAATTTTAACATGCTCATCAACAAGAATGCAATAGAATTTATATGAATTTATATTATATGGCTTCCGCGTCGGGAAGAAACAGCACGCAGCAAAAGGTGGGATCTTATCATTCGCTACTTTATGGTTGATCCCTTTTGTTTATTAGCAGGACACCACTTCGCTATTACACAAATTCCACACATGCCACCAAAGACGTAGATTGAATCCAAAAAACATCAGTGGCAGCAAGTACAGTTGTATGGAAAGCGATCACTTGCGCCGTCCACAACAAGTACACCATCCTCGTTCAGGCAACCGTGGACACCAATCTTGCCAGACTCCAATCAGGTTCTGGAGACCATCGCAAAAGTTTGCATCACGATCGCCCATGGGCAAGTCATTGGATGGAGAAAAGTGTGCAAAATCAATCAGATGTACAGTGCATTTCCCTCCCAAACGCATTTCTCGGGTAAAAAGCAAGCTGGAAGCCCTGAGAGTTCCCCCGAAGCCCATTTCAGCTGCTTCACTGATGGCGCGGACTTTCTCAAGAACATCTGCAGCTGTGAGCATGTCAATGTCGCAACCGCGGGCGTCTGGCTTTTCCCCAACACCTGCTGGTAACTGCCCAAAGCCTGGAGGGCAAGCAAAAAAAGCTGGCAACAGCCAGCTAGCAAACTCCTCAGTTTTCAAGCTGAATCGAGCTTTCAGGTTGCTGGACTTCAGAACTAGATCGCCTGCTTTCATCCCAGCTACCCTGAAGCCATCCATTGCGCTGCTTTTTGAATAAACTTCATCAAACTTCTTCGACTCCTTGGCCACCTTTGCCGGGGAAGCGTCGTCTTCCCAGGTCTTCTTGCCGATCTTGATGTCCATAGTGGCAGTTGGTCCTTGCAAACCTGCATAAGCACTATCAAGTTCCATGTATTGAACATCGCCAACCTTGCGAATCCTGTGGAATTTACAAAGAAATGGTCCCAGTGAAGACTTGGCAAGTGCTTTGTATGCCAACACTTCTCGCTGGGAAGTCCTGCAAGGCCAAACGGCGGCCATTTGTGTCTGGTCATGTCTGGTCAAACTTGCAATTGCAGAATCATAGCCTTACCATGCCTTACCACTACATTCAACATCTGCTGTCTGGCTTCGGTCCTTTTTCTCCAAACGACAACAGAGAGCAACAAATTGATGCGACTTGTTCCTCCACTTTCAGCTATGTTTTCATCACTAGTTTTAGTCTTACTTTTTCCTCTGCAGTGACTGGCTCCACATGGTCGTCTCATAAACAATTTATCCCAACCCTTTTGTGTGCACTGCCAGCCTGTCAGCCTCGTCCACAGGCTTGAGAATTCGGGTGCCATCTTTGTTCGTCAGCATCGGCTCATGTTGGCCGCCAGACTTTTCGCTCAGCAGGATCCACTCGCCATCGTTGATCATCGCCGATCATCCGGGCCTCAACGTCACAAACCCAGTGTGTCACATCTACGAAGAATGACAGGTGCAGCCTTGAGCCACCAAAACGGCTTCCATATGCTTTCATAGAGAACCAAGTCCCTAGTTGCAGCATGTTGGAAACAACTTTCAATTTAAAGCACGTGTTTAACTCTTTTGGTGTCATGATAAATATGATAAATCTGATAAATCAGGTCATTTCATGTCATTTCCAATATCTTATGTCGCAATCATGTCTGCCGCTGGGATTGACCCTCGCACCGGCGAGGGCGCTTTTTAGGCGGGGGTCCCGTACAACTGTTTGGTGGCTGTTCTGTGAGGTTGTGACAGCCATTGTATGCCATGGTTGGAGCTGGTCTGAGGAGTCATGTCTTTCTAGATTCTAAACCTGTTGATCTGGGACTGGCTCAAATTCATTGCCCCCAAGATTGGATGGTTGAAATTGGTCAAATGGATTGCTGAGGCTGATCATCGATATTCAAAGCCCCGCAGTAACCACACCTTTGCTCTCATCCTGGACATCCGCATCAATTTCTGTTGGATATATTGGATGCTTGCAGCGTCAGCTCCAATCTACGTCGGATCGGCAAATTCTGCCAGCATGGATGTTTCACTCAGCAACGCCTCTCAGCAACGACACAGAGCGCAAACTCTGTAGCCTTGATGTGGGCGTGGGTCAAGATTGAAGACCCGAACAAACGGAACAACAAGTCATCTTGGCATGTCCCGGTCTAATTTCATTTGATGCCAACATGATCCAAAATGTAAATCTAGGTAATTATCCACAACTAACCCATTCAATGACCCAGACCCACATGAACATGTATATATTATGCATTAGCTTAATCTAAAAGCTCTTTGAAGGCCTTCTCTATAGACCCCATACGGAAACATACGTGCATGTACCTCATTTCTTGCCGCATTTGTTTTACATTTATACCGACGCAAACAAACATACATTTCTGTATTTATTTTTAGGTGTTCAACATTTTACCTTACATATAGAAACATTTGTGTTTGCATTTCTCGACATTTGTGCTTGCATTTCTTAACATATGTCACATCATATGTCTTTGCATTTACCCTTACTTCTACTTCTACTACTACTACTACTACTACTAGCACTACCACTACCACTACTACTACTACTACTACTTCTACTACTACTACTACTTGCTTGACATCTGTGGTTACATATATGGTACTCGTACATGCTCGACAAATGTGCTCTTATTGGACCGTAATTTGTCGTAATGCATTTAACTTATGCCACGACAAATGCAAACAAATGCATAAACAAACGCAAACATATGCAACAACAATTGCATAATATCTTATTTTGCGAAGAAAAGAGATCTTATTTTGTCGTTACCCAAAATAAGATAATATTTTCACAAAATGAGATCTTATGCATTAGTGATTGCATTTATTTGCACATATACTTACAATTACTTACATATGTACTTACATGTATTACGTATATGCTTACATTTGTTCCAGTATTTACGGTTTGTGCCAGTACATTTGCAAACATATATGCAGAGCAAATCTAAACAAATGCCACAACAAATGCAGACAAATGCCACAACAAATGCAAAACATGCCACAACAAATGCAAACCAATGCCACAACTTTGCGTCAGAAAATGCATCAAACATATGTAAAATTAAATGCTGTAACATATATAACATATGTATATCTTAATTTGGGGAGTCCAGACCCCTCTAGAGTAGTGCTTTTGGATAAAGTCAAATTATGCATGCACAAACGGGAATATGGGACCTTGGCACTCCGTGAGCAATATGACGCTAAGGTTGCAACCCAAAGCAGTTGCAATTGTTGAGCCACAGCCTGGGTAGGGGGACCGGTCGCACAACTTGCAGTGGCTTCATATTGTCTTCACATTTTCTTCATGTCACTGGTCACCGGCTGTTGTTTCCGTTTTCAATCCCTGAAGGGTGTGAGATGGTGTGAGTAAATTGAGATCATCACCTCACTTCCTCTATTTCGGGTGGTGAACAATGTGAAAAATGTAAGTGTTCGACCAAATCCACCAAAATCTTGAAATGTTTTGACATCTCCATGGAGCGGACGGTGGCACAACGGCTCCGGCTGTGCCAAGGAGGTACGAGACCTTTTAGCGCTCCGGTCCTCGGCTGAAGGAACAAGGCAGCATCGAAGGACAACTTGACAAAATCTATCCTTTTTGATCTTGGGAAACTTTGAAGTTTTGTGTGTTTGATGGTCAAACGATGTTGAAACTAAGTACGAGTAATCTCTTCTGAATTCCCGTGTGAACATCATAAACCGACCCTACGATCCCTACGACAAGGATGAGAACATCCAAACATACCGAGCAAGGCACGCCACCGCTATCCTAAGGTGCGAATGGAACAGCATCGATTGTTGGATGGTTTTAGGGCAATCTAGTCTTGACGACGGCAATCTTAGATTTGGATGCAGGTGCCACAAGGTGAACCTTCATTGCCTCAAAGCGTTTGCAGCAACTGATGATTCGTTGCCATTCACGGGGCGCCTTTTCTAACACCGGGCCACCTCTCATAGCGAAGCTTTCACAGCTTTGCCCCGATGCGCATTATTCGCATCGGTGGAAATTCCCCACTGAAGCTGGCGGGATAGCAACACACGGTGCTCAAAAGCAGACCAAATTCGAAAGGAATCTGAAATAATCTGAACACGATGTATTTACCCGTCACAATTGCTTTCAGTACTACCAAATACTACCAACCATCACCGAAAGCTCAGAATGATCGTAATCACAAATGCCTCTGAAATTTCTGCAGTGTCTTCAGCCGCAGTGGGTAGCTCACCACAGCTTCTCCCCCTAGTAGCCTAATTCAGGCTTCAGGCAGGGAAGTGATGCTGTGACATGCTGCACCTCTGGGTGATTCTCACATCAGAGGAGCACCAGCACATTTCGCCAAGGCTTCTTCAGTCAGATATCTGGCTGCTGCAATGGCATCTGCCTGGCAAGCTAAAAAATAAATATAAACATACAGTAAATAAACAAATAAATAAATGCACGCACATATACATACATACATTACATTACATTGCATTGCATTACATTACATTACTTTACATTACATTACCATACATACATTACATACATACATACATACATTACATACATACATACATTACATACATTACATACATTACATACATTACATACATTACATACATTACATTACATTACATACATTACATTACATTACATTACATTACATACCATAACATACCATAACATACCATAACATACCATAACATACCATAACATACCATAACATACCATAACATACCATAACATACCATTACATAACATTACATAACATTACATAACATACATACATTACATAACATAATATAACATAACATAACATTACATTACCATACATACATTACATTACCATACATACATAACATACATTACATACATAACATACATAACATACATAACATACATTACATACCATACATACATTACATACATTACATACATTACATACATTACATACATTACATACCATACATACATTACATGACATTACATGACATTACATGACATTACATGAAATTACATGAAATTACATGACATTACATGACATTACATGACATTACATGACATTACATGACATTACATACATTACATACATCACATCACATCACATTACACTACATTACATTAATAGATACATAACATAACATGACATGACATGACATAACATACAATACAATACAATACGCTACACTACCATATCATACCATACCATACCATACCATACCATACCTACATACCTACATACATACATACATACATACATAGATACATACATAGATACATACATAGATACATACATAGATACATAGATACATAGATACATAGATACATAGATACATTACATTACATTCCATTCCATTCCATTCCATTACATTACATTACATACACACACACATACATACATACAAACACACACATACATACAAACACACATACATACATACATACATAACATAACATAACATTACATTACAATATAATACATTACATTTACATTACATTACACAACATAACATACATTACAAATATACATACTATTATATACATACCATTACATATATACCATTACATGCATACCATTACATACATAACATTACATACAAAGCATTACATACATAGCATTACATACATAGCATTACATACATAGCATTACATACATACTATTACATACATACCATTACATACATACCATTACATACATACATAATCATACATACATAATCATACATACATAATCATACATACACAATCATACATACACAATCATACATACACAATCATACATACATAATCATACATACATAATCATACATACATAATCATACATACAGTACATAATATACATACATACATGCAACATACATACATACATAACATAACGTAACATAACATAACATAACCTTATTGTACCTTGCCTTACCTTACATCCATGCATACATACATATATACATTACATTATATTACATTGCATTGCATTGCATTAAATTACATTACATTGCATCACATTGCATTACATACATTAAATACATTAAATACATTACATACATTACATAACATTAGATAACATCACATAACATAACATTACATACATACATATCATTGCATATATATAAATAATTTATGTATATGCATGCAAATGTATATTATTTGTTCATTATATTATTATTATTATTATTCTTTTTATTATTGCACACACACACATATATATATATATATTATGTGGAATGGCTACATATGCATGCGCAGTATGTAACATGCTTTGACATTGATGTGATAACCGTGACAGTCGGTGGTGACAACCTTTAGCCCCAACCTCCTCACCAGGCGCGATGACAGGAGGGTTGAGAAGAATACGAACCGCCTCGTCGGCATCCTGTCAAGCTGAAAGGCACAAATGCTCACAGCTGGCTATGATTCCACAATTTTTCCCTGGAAGTTGGCCGAGGGGAATATCTATAAAATATATTATAATATCCATTTTAAAGTATTTTAAAGTATCCACTACTGTAATAATGATAGAGGAACTTGGCCAATTTGACCGAATTAGACCTTCCCAAAAGAGGAATTCTCACCATCTTCCTATATCTTCCTATTGCCTCAGTGTCACACCATTGGTTGGGCATACTGTATGCGGCACTCTCATCGATCATCCGTATTGCGAGCCTTCTCAGTGATGCAGTGCTTGGGATTTGTCAGGACTGACCGATGCCTGGATTTTGGCAACAGCCAAAGTTTGGATGTTGAAAGAGGGCCCACTCTGCAGCTATAGCGATTCTTGGCATTCGATGACTGCAGTCTGCAGCATCCCCCGAGCATCCGACTTCATGAGAGGTGTTCCTTGAACCTTCACGCTGTCTGCCCAGCTGAAGTCAATATCATCTATGGCCACCCACGCCTCCGGAATGCTGCAGAGGGTATTCGCAAGTATTCATCGTTCCTAAATGGGAAGCCGTATGAAGCCATCCAGAAATGTTGGGTCTTGCCTTGACTTCTTTGTGCTGCTTCAGCCAGCTCCCTATCTCGCGTGCCCGCCGCTCTGCCCATATGATTGCCTCAGTGGCAATGTTGTGCTCTTTTTTGGCCACTGGCAATGACATAATCCTTCTCCCTCTCATCTCGTTCCTTGTATCTTTTGACATCTTTTCGATCCTTTAGATTCTTTTGTGTTTTCCTCCTCTGGACTCTGGACCATCGAATCCGCATCTCATTGGGATTCATTGGGGAGCTTCGGACCTGGTCCAGTCTCTGCTTGACCAACTCCGCAGATGGCTGGAAAATCGGCGTCGAGTCTTGGAAGCCAGGGATGTCCTCTGCGCTGGACGTGAAATTCTCGAGATCCGGTGCGACTATCTGGTGACTCTCATCACTACAACTCAAAGGCCTTGGCTATCCCTGGCTAATTTTCTGTCTGGCTTTGGATAGTGTTAAGGCATGTTGTAGAAACCCTAGCCCATGACACACGGCACAGCACCCAGCCTGAGTCATGAGTGTCCTCCGAATGTTGTCCCTCATCTCCTGACAAGAGGGGTCAATTTTTGTTCTACCCCTATGAATTCTTTGCTCACGGGCGCCACCTCTCTCCGTCGCCACTCGGAGGACACGACAATGGTAGCACCGGTCCTGAGCGACTCAGATCCAGTGACATGGAACTTCATGGAACACCTTGGCAAACACGCCTACGAAACTTGACTTGTAGGAATATTGAATCTTGGATGTTCGGAATCTCCCAATGATAATATAATATATCAAATATAATGATACGCCGTATTCATTGGGACTGACCGCCAGCAAAAACAGACCAGCAAAAAGTGGCAAAAGGGATTGCAAGAGAGCAAACGTGAATGAAGTGAAGCGTACAATGGCAACAAACCCATTCCAGCCGATTTCACCTCGCATGTTTTTGAAATCATACCAGGCTGCACGCAAACAGTCAAAAGCACAGATTACCCAGTACATATGTATATACGTTTTAAAATGCTACATTGGAAAAAGAAACACATGTGGTGTATCTCACCATCAATGAAGCCTTTCGGGATCTGCATTTGCATATGTTTGCATCATTTGCGCGCCACAAATCGTGACTGCATCATCTACTCACCTCTGAGAATGGGACTGTTGCACAATGGAACGCAAATTTTGGAGGGCGACTCTGCTAAAGTCAGCCTCCTTCGCTGCTCTCACCGGCAACATCACGCCGTCAATGTAGATCCTGGCACAAAAGAGAGAACCAAGCAAATCATCTGTCCCCAGTATTCAGGTTTAAAAAAACACACCCCTCACTCTGACACTCTGAAGTAGAGGCGCGCACATTTCGACGCTGCCAGCTGGCAAAAGGACACCGTCGACATCGAGGAAAATTACCCGAGACCTGGAACGATGTGCAGTTCTCCCAATGCCTCCCGTTCCCAACGCAAACTCCCAAATCAGAGACTTTCCATACCAGACCGCTTGTGTATATTTAATGCATATACATATATAACTATATATAATTATATATACACATTATATATCATTATATAATATATATATATATCATCACCACCCTTTTAAGGTGGGGGGACGCTCAAAATGCAAGCTTGCTAATACGACATTATTTTGGGGGGGGGACCTATGAAAGGGGTGGTGATTATATATATATATATCTCTCTCTCTCTCTCACACTGCAGGCTCAAATCTTCCACCTCCCTGCGTTGACCTGAAGCCACCTAGTTCCCCGTTCCCCTTGGCTCCCAGGCCTATCAGTTGGAGGAAGCTTTGGCTTTGAATTCGCCTGTTCAGCTTTCCTTGCTTTGGCGGCAGTCGCCTGTAGCCATGGGAGGAAGCTCACCAAATCGCAGGCATGAGCTAAAATCAAACACATTGATCATTTATCCACATTCCAATTTCATTCCGATCCTGTTAAGAAACATCATTGAACCGAACTGAACCATTTCGGAATCAGGATTCATCAGTTTTCTAATGCTAAAGAGTACATGCCTCACAATTTGCCCGTGAGCCTTGTCTTTCTCTGGGTCAGGTGGTGGGAGAAAGTCATACAGCCCACCAAGACCCAAATCCTGTTCGGGTGAACAGGCTCGGGTCTTCATGCATCTGTTCCGCATGCCGACCAAGAATGGGCCCAGTTTGTGCCAGGGATTTTTTTCGCCCTTCCCGGGGAATTTTTATGCCGCATCAATTCCCTGTTAAACCTCGAAGCTGCCATTTCGACAATATTTGCAACATTTTGGAACGACTTCTAGGGTAATTGCAGCATTTTGGAGCTAGAAACTGACGGTAAGTCAAGCATTTTGGAGCTAGAAACTCTTGTTTCTGCCAGAATCGGAAATTTTTGGAGCTAGCAGCAATCTTGGGTTTAGTTCAGCTAGAAGTGTTGTTGGGGCTGCTGTGGTGTGTATCGTGGGTTGGGTTAGTTATTCCAGGTCGATTTATAAAGTTGGTTTATAAATGATGTTTGTGTAGCGCTTGTTTGGCGTGAATTTAGTGTTGGTGCAATAATTGCACTCTAGGAGTCCGCTTCGTTTTAGGGTTGGTTCAAAGAGCATGGTGTTAGGGCTGCTGTAGGATTTGTTTCGGCTTGGGTGAAGGTATTTTGGAATGTTTCTTATCTTTTAAGATATGTTCAGGGTTGGTTTAGGTTTGGGGTAAGGTTTTGTTTAGATTTGGTTTAGGGTTGTGTTCCAAGGCCGCTTTGAAATTCTAGATTGATTTAGGGTTTAATTTGGGCGGGCTTAGTGTTAGCTTAAAGTTTCTGGGTTTGTTTGATGTTGGCGCAATGCTTATTTAACATTTTCGGGTGTTATTTCTGGCGTGCTTAGTGTTTGGTTTTAGATGTGTTTAAGTTTTCTTTCGGTTTGGTTTAGGGTTGATTCAGGGTTGGGTCAGTGGTTTTTTGCTGCTTGGCTTAAGGTTGGTGCAAAGTTTTGTCAAAAATCGTTTCAGGGTTTGCTTCGGAATTTGTCGAAATTTCATTTTTCTTTTAGGTTTGGATTTGGGTTTGTTTTGGGTTGGGTTAACCCTTTATTCGGCATTCGTTTCAAGGTTTATTTGAGGTTGGTTGAAAATTCAAAGTTGGCTTGGGGGTTGACTTTAACGTGCGCGTTTCGTGAGGGTTTTATTTTTAAAAACTACATAGATAGTTTGCTTTAAGGTTTTATTTGGGGTTGGATTGAGGGGTTCTTTATAATCCGTTTAAGGTTGGTTTAGGATTGATTTGGAGTTGGTTTAAGGTCTGATTAGAGCTGGTTTGGGGACTATGGAATTTTGGTTTACATTTTTATTGAATGCAGTTCGGAAATTTATTTGAAGTTGTTGAGGGTTTTGTTAAAGTTGGCTTAATGGCTATCTCAAGTTGGTTTAGGGTCAATGTAGTGCCGGTGAACTTTATATTTTAAATTGGTTCACGGTTCGGTTTAGAGTTGGTTTGGGGCTGGTTGGAGATCTATTTAGGGTTGATTTGTGGTCTATTGAGGATTGGTTCAAGGCTGTCTATTTGAGGTGGTTTTAGGGTGTATTTTAAAATAGTTGGTGCTTTACTAAGGGTCAGTTTATCTTTCTATTTCAGGTTGGTCAAGGATTTTTTTTCTGTAGAGTTGGTTCAACATTTATGTATGGTTGATTTAAAGTTGATCTAAACTTTGGTGTCGTTTTTGTTTTGAATTTTCTTTAGGGTTGGTCAAAGATAGGTTTAAAGCTTTATATACTGGTTAGTGCCAATTAGTTTACAGTTTAAAATTCGTTTAGAGTTTGGATAAGTATGGATAAGTAAGGTTGGATTCGGGTTGCAGTTGGTTTAGAACTTTATTTAGGGTTGGTTCAGGGTTGCTTTGTTTTATTGAAAGTTGGTTTATATTTTTTTCCGAAGGGTTGGCTCGAAAGTTTATCTACGATTGGCTCAAACTTTACTTATGGTGGCTGGCTTGCTTGCTGGTTGGCTGGCTGGCTGGCTGGCTTACTTCCTTGCTTGCTTCCTCAATTGCTTGCTTGCTGCCTTGCTGGCTTGCTTGCCTGCATGCAAAGCGGTTCCTGCTCTGGCTTACGTGCATGGCTGGCTTGCTTGCTTGCCCCCTTACCCCTTTGCTTGCTGGCTGGCTTGCTTGCTTGCTGGTTGGCTGGCTTGGCTGGCTTGGCTGGCTTGGCTGGCCTGGCTGGCTGGCCTGCCTGCCTGCGTGCTTGCTCGGTCGCTTGCTGCCTTGCTCGGTTGCTCAGTTGCTTGCTTGCTTGCTTGCCTGCTGGCTTCATTGTGAAAGGATGATCGGGGAAAAAAATCCTCGGGGAAGGGGAAAAAATAAAAATAGTGCGCCACCAAGAATCGTGGTTATCTTCACCGAACACAGCCCACCTTTGCTATCATTTCATCACATTTCAATACATAAATATAGATAAATGCTATGAACCAAGCTGAGAACACACATGAAACTCAGACTGTTGGCTCCGCCGTGCCTCCACTGGCTCCGGCTCCTTCCTCTTTCTGGAGGGTTCCGTCGGCATCCCTGAGGACAAGGCCAAGGCCACGGAAAACCGCGTCCGGTTGGGAAGTCGGAATCACCGAATAGCCAATTAATGAACAAGTCCTTCGATCCCATTGAATCACATGGGTCCATGTTGTTCCGTGAGTTGGGAATCCCATGGCATACCAATGGAATATTATGGAATATTATGGAATATTATGGAATATCATGGAATATTATGGAATATTATGGAATGACCTAAAGCATCTAAAGCCTCAGCAGCACAACTTTGGGGTTATCATGAACGTCCTATGCTTAGGGGCATCGGGTGGGCCATCTTTGGCCTAGGATAACGTTGAGTCATTGTTGACCCTTAGGAAATCTTTGCAACCATTCCTAAATTTGGTTCCACGGGACATGATATGGATTTGTGGCCAAGAAGTAGCCCATTGGCAAATCAAACCAGAGTTTACCCAGAACATTCCAGAAATGTAGTGAATTCAAGTACTGCACAAGAAAAAGGGCGACAACTAATTGCAGGAAGCTCCACCCGCGCAGGCCCAAAGGACGGTCGCGCGCAAGCGCCTTGCACCCACTACCACTGCCAAGCTGGAGCCCCAAAATGGCAGCAGGGGACAGTCGGCAATTTCAGCAGCTAGAACGTCTGAGCACACAAGAATCTTGAGAGACGGACATGAAAACGATGACACCATCATACGTACAGCATCATACAGCAATCATCCGCGATCTATATCGGACCGCAAAATCACGTATGGGATCCTGTCCTTTGCGATCCAAAGAAACGTGAATTGTCCCAGTCTCACTGTGCAACCCATCGATGTTGATCACCAGGGCCCTGGCAGACATTCGCTTCCTGGCTCGCCTCAGCGAGACCGCTCTTAGAGTTGGGCAGATGCCAAGCCTGGACCTCACATGGCTGATACAAATCTATCCCAAACAGCACAAGAACCCACAAATTGATATAAATTGCAGGGACCCAAGTCTGAGCCAGACCCATGTAAGGATCCAGCTCCGCTGCTGCCTGCCCCAATGAGCAAGAAAGGGGCAAACCAAATACTATCAAAACAAACCTATGACCGACAGGTGCCAATGTTGGACACGCACCTGAAACTGCGGAATCTGCGAATGTCTTCTGGCTCTCATTTGTGCTTTTGCAATGGCGGCCACTTCATGTCCACAGGACATGTCACAACACATTGAATCTGACTGGAAAGGATAGATCACGAAAAAAGGCTGCCCTAAAACATCCTTTCCTCAACTAAACTCAGGATACACAGCGCATTTGGGGGTTTTGGAGGGCCCCAGCTCGGCTCCATGTGGCTTCTGCTCAAAACCCGGCCAAAATAGCGGGCAAAAATGTTCCCCACTTTAGTATCATCGGTTTTGACCCCATCACAATACAGTTGGTTGCATCCCCATTTTGCTTGGTCAAGCATCTTGGCGGCAAACGCTACGTTCGCCCACCCCCCAATTTTAGACCCATGATATGTTGCATGACAATGAATCTACCACCCCTCCGAACATCACATTGATAGTCTAGTGATATGAGAATTGATCATCATAATATGGGTAAATCTGCAACCCTCTCTAAACTTCGCATTGATGGTCGAATGATATGCAGATTGATTGTCATAACATGGGTATATTTTGCAATTAGAGCACTGGCAGCATAGAGTTTGCAGCAAACATGTTCAAGCCCTAGACTATGTTTGCTGATTGAAGCTCCATCCAGCAGGCAACTAAGCTCAAACAATGAGCTGAAACCTCATTTAACCCTCCCAAATGTATGATACTAACATAAACATACGTACATATAATACCCACATAAGAATACATGGGGGTTCCTGGGTCCTAAAATAGGGGTACCCCAAATCATCCAAAATTAGACCATTTTAGTATTAAAACCTATGGTTTTGGGGGTACCCCTTTGGCTGGTCCCCGCCGTCCTTGGCTTCGGGATCGTCCCGCAGCTCGTCTTCCCCGTGTGCGAAGCGACCTGGCACGGAGAAGCGACAGCATACAGCAAGGCACTTCAGCAATGAGGAACAATGAGGACCAGGAGGACACTATACATGAGATTATTGTAATATATTTTGATATTGTTTATTGTAACATGGCCCATGGTGCAAGAGGTGCAACATGTATTGGGTTGTAGTGCATTGCAATCTTAGGCGATGACATTGGGATCCGCTTTGGCAGGTCCCCTTCTCAAACCAGGTGCACAGGGCCTGGCAAAAAATGGCGGCGATTGACTCGGGAAATGCCCCGAAAGTCTGAGGACAGCACTGTCTTGAAGCAAATGTCCGAAGCCTTGAAGCAGGAAGGGGTCAAGACTCGCCATTGATGCGACTGAGTCGGTTACAAACAACATTCCAACTTAATACGACCAATTCCGTTTGATGCCTTGGTTGGTTTGGTTAGTTTAAGACGTTTAAGACTAAGAAATAATTTTAATCAATTTAGGCCAGGCAAGTTGACGACACTGCACCGAGTCGTGCGCTCTCAACTCGTCCTCGCCATGGGCAAACTTGCAATCTCTGTCGTCGCACTTCCTTGCTGCAATGTGTGTTTCACAAGCAAAAAGTGCATTGAGAATTCAGAATAGGATGAACACACGTCGTTTACCATGGGTTTCCTTCAATCCTGGGAGAAACAACTAAAAGTGACGACTCCAAAATTACCACTCCACAATACCAACTTTGCTCCAAACTGCAGATCTGCAAAGCTTGTCCCGGCCGGGGCTTAAGTTGCTGGCCCTGCCAGGAAAGACCGGCCTGGAACAGCTACGTCAATTCTGCATTGTCAATGCAAATCAGTGGGAAGCCACGTCGAAACCACTGGGATTGGAGCAAAGGCGGGTTTTCCTCAGGTCTGGTGCTGATTGAAGTTCCTGCCTTGAGAGCACAGCATTTACGCGAACATGTTACACAAAACTTTAACATCTTTCTTTAACATATTTACATACCATGCAGCCAATCATAGCCACAGTCTGTAATAACATGGTAATAACCAAGATGCTCATCGTGCGCGAAGGCGCAATCTTCACCATACTTGCACCTGCCAAGCGCCGAGATGTGCTAGAAGTGTGGCGAGAAAAACATGCTCCCGCCGGGCAGGCCACTGACTTGCGACTGTCACTGTCACTCACTTGTGACTGTCACGCACTTGCGACTGTTACTTGTGATTGTCCTATTTCTGTGGAGTGGGGTGGGGTGGGGTTGGGTCGCGCAATAACGTTCACTGGGACTTCACACGGGATGGTAGCTTCCACTGACTTCATTCGACTTGCCACTGACGTCATATTCTCTTCACTTCTCTTCACTTCCCTACTCTTTTCCCGTCTCTACTCTTTTCACCTCTCTATTCTCTTAACTTCTTACTTCTTACTTTCTTCACTTCCCTACTCTCTTCAAATCCCTGCTCCTTTCACTTCTGTACTCTTTTCATTTCCCTACTCTTCACTTCTACTTCTCTGCTTTCCAGAAGGTCTGTTGGCTCATGGTGATCTAACAAATGATAATCACGATGATGAAAATGAAAAATGATAATGAACACATTATGATGATGATGATGATGATGATGATGATGACGATGATGATGATGATGATGAGGATGAGGATGATGATGAGACAGTCACAAGCGAGCGGATTCGACAGTCACAAGCGAGTCATCGCCCTTTACGCCGTGCCACTCACCAAAAAATGTGTCTTGATCCTGCCTTCCCTCCTTGTGAAAGTCGCACATGCGCGTCTTCTTCATTTTGGCCGTAAGGATCGAGCGGCCCTGTTGGCAGGCTTGGAGGCCTTTTGTCAGTGCTTCAAGGCCTTTAAAAATTCAATGCCCCACAACCGCCCTGCTTCAACCCATGCCAACATCACCCTGGCATATTGATTCGCGTGGGACGGATCATCTCAAAAAACAATACGAGCTGGTTATGAGTGAAACAGCCAAGTTTTGACATCCTCCTAAAAGCAGGACATTATCATCATTATCCAAATTATCCACATTTATCTACATTTATCATCATTTATCCGCAAATTCAACCAACATAGCAAGATTTGGCGTATACATCTTCTGGGAACCACACCGTGGCCACCCCGTCCCTTTGGCCCCCTGGCAATCGTGTCACCGACCTGCTTCTTCTCCTCCTGAACCTGCGAACACTGGTGCTGAAGCATATTTGTTCAGCTAAAAGCTGAGGCACTTTCATGCTGTCTATGCTTGCATGATTGTGTATTCTGTATGTGATGATGTTCTCACCTCATCTTACATTGAACCTCCAACGCTTCCGATGCTTCTAGGACAGAAAGATAAAGAAAGCACATCCATCAATGCAACATCTTGGAACAACATGGAACAACCACGCAGGCTGTGGCAGGTCGTCGGTGCCAATTGCATGTCCCCCAGCCTGCTCCGGGTCCTTCTCCTTCTGCTTGGCTTTATTACTTCTCGCATTTCTCCCTCCTCGCCTTCTCTTTTTGGCACCCTGCTTGGGCTGTGCCTCGAAAGGAAGCTGCAAGTGAGAACAAAAACTAAACGCGTCGTTGGTCGTGGGTTCGAGCAAAAATGGGGGATACTGCAAATACAAATACATGCAAATACCTTATTTGACGGCCATTTTAGTGAGGAAAATGATGATCAACCATGGGTTGGAATACGGCGCACTGCGCACTATTTTGGCACAAACCCAACGTAGTCTCTACATTCTACATGTATCCAGGGTCTCTGCTTAAGGCACTTGCCTTTTCACCAGGAGCATTGTCGCCCTTGTCATTCTCACCATTTCCGTCATTCTCATTCTCGTTTTCCGTATCCTTTGTGCGCCTCAGGCCCGGCAGCTGCCAGTCAGGAATCTTGCGAATCATGGCTGATATCTGGTTTATCCATCAGGGATTTATGGGAGAGTATATGCATCTCTCTCTCTCTCTATACATATGTGTGTGTGATAATATATCATAATATATCTGCTATCTAATGTAATGTAATGTGATCTAATCTTTATAGTCTAGTCTACTCTAATCTATCTAATCTAATCTAGTCTAGTCCAATCAAATCAAATCTAATCTATCTACGATCGACGATCGATTGATCTATCACACATATGATATATGATATATGTATATATATATTATATTATATTATATTCTATTATATTATATTACATTATATTACATTAATATTATATTATATTGTATTGTATTGTGCTATATTGCATTATACTATATTTATATTATACTATATTATACTATGATTACATAATAATAATTATTATATATATCAGGTAGCTCGCAAATTTTGGGGATACCCTGGCACCCCCAGAAATCAACAACCAGGCTTCAACAATCCGGGGGTCATATTGTAAATCTTGTACGAAGCAGCTTTTTTTAATGAGGGAAGACTGGGGAGGCTACTCTCCCTCCTCATCATCATCGTCATCGTAGTTTGCCTGCAGGTCAGCTATGGAAATCTATGGAACTATGCCATCTGGTCGCATCTGGTGAGAGACTTCCAGCCAACTCAAAGGCAAAGGCCTCCTCCATGTGCCCTCACCGCAAGTGCGAAGCCAGGTATACTGAAAAACCCTAAGAGCTGTGAGTCTGGCAGATCCAAATCTAAGGATTCAGGCATCAAACTGGAGCTGCCCTGGCCGGAACCTCAGTTTGCAGTGACTGTTGACAAAAAGGGGAAACAATCCATTGCCGTCACTCTGCCCCCTCCACTGCCGCTAAACCACTGCCCAGCTTTGTGGACTTGCAGCTACCACTGCCGTTTTCAGATGATCTGCTTGGGCCAGTCCAGCGGAAGATGCTCGGGCATTGTCCGTGCCAAAACGAAAGAACTTATTATAGGACATATTAGGACCATGATGTATGATTCTATCATGACTGTACGCATGACTTTCTCAGGCCCAAACATTTATATAAATGTGACCATGTCTGCCATGTCTCCCAAAAAGTTCCCAAAAGCATAACAGATAATAACAGATATAACATTTCACTTCTTGCCCACATTCTTCGCTCATTTTGCGCACTTTTGCTGACAAGCTGGCAGCCCTGGCACATGTCGTGGCACCTTCAAACAGCACTACTTTGGCCCACTGACCTGCGGCGAACGGCTGGTGAGGTTCAGCATGTAGCAGCTCAAGCACCAGCAGCCTGCTCCAAGAGGATGCCAAGGCCAAATTCAGTGCCATCTTGAAGCACCCAGGCCTAATGGCTGGGGTCATTGCTGGTGGATAATTGGCAGTGATCACTCACCATAGAAATCACCAGCAAGTAGTCGAATTTATGTTCCAGCCTCTTCAGGAGCATCTGTTGGATTTGGCCAGCTTTCCTCGAACGAAGCGGCAAAGCTGCAACTTTCTACCCGCATCCACTGCTTCAGTTGATGCCGTTTGTCAGCTGATCCATGCCTTTGCGATCCGAAGCCACGGGCCCTGAAAGTCCTTGGGCGCCTCAGCTGCCATGGTGTGACTGTGGCATTGGTGGCACTTCGCAAATGGATCATATGGACCAAGCACCCCAAGCACCCCAAGCGCCCAAGTGCCCCAGCCGATAGAACTTCGTCGCCTTTGTAGAACACATCCACCACCTGGGCCTGACGCCAAAGAGTTGAGCCACCCTGCGATGGCGCTCCGCAAGCTGGATATGGTTTTCTAGGCTGAAGAAAACTTGCTCTGATCCAGGGTCAGTGATGTCAGATTTACACGTTGAGCGCCAACAACAACAGCTACAGTTTCTTTTCACAACATAATGATATGTTCTTCATGAAGCAACTGAAGCAACACCTTGAGTTTAGAAGGTCTCAACTTCCAGGCGTGGCGTAATCAACCATTTTGCTCCCTGGATCTTCCTGGCCTGTGCATGTGGCCCAGATCTCACCTGGCCAGGTGTTAGGCCTTCCCTGCATTTCCCTGCACTGGTGAATCGTCCCCTTCCAATCGGTTTCAATCTTAATCCCAACCAATTTTTGATATTTTTGCACCGCCAAACACGCCTTTTACATCATTTTACATAATTTTACACTATTCTGCAACGATTAACCCATATTAACCCTGTGATCACTTTCGATTGTGTGGGAGGATGTTAAAGCCCCAAGTTCAGTGACAGTCTGACAGTGTCAAACATTTGCTTTTTGCCGTCGAAGAACTGCAATCCGCGTGGCGCAGGTCACAAGCCAAACCGCAAGACCACGCTCCTGCAAGCATCCGTACCAGCGCTACCAGTAGTAAGTTGTAAGGCTCTAAAAAATGTGTGAGTCCTCAAACCTTATGGTACTTTGTGGCGCAGCTACCTTATATTACGTTCTTCTCGATTTAAATGTGCAATGGCACGTCCAAAACATGTCCTCTCCATTTTGCATGTGTATATATATATATATATTTGCGTTTGGTCACTTCAACATACCACGGTCATTTCGAATGGCAAAACATCCGTCCTTCCCCACGATTCGTATTCTTGATGCATCCTCTCTGCGACTCAGCCTGGGTGACAATGACTGAAAAACTTTCAATATCAGGAAAGCTGGCTAGGGGGCTTGATAATCCTAAGTGGGATGTCAAACAGATTAAGTATGATTATGTATAGGTACCATCCAAAGATACATATGATTATTATTGATTATTATGATATGAATGCAATGTAAGATATTTGACACCCATCCCTGGGGCGCCAGCAGTGGATGATCCACGGGCTGCAGTGACGGTGGTTTGAAGCACTCAGCCGGCCAAGTTGCCAAGGTCCAAGCCTCACCACCAATTTCTGGCATCATTCCGCTGCACATCCACATCAACTATACCGGGTTTTTGGTTCTAGACGATGTTGCTTCAGTTTAACGGTTTTAAAGACGATTGGTTTAGTCTCGGAGAACTTGCAAGCCAACGATGTTAACATTTGTTTTGATTCTCCAAATGCGGTTGGGTTCCCCCTTAAACATCCTTAGGCCCATTCAGCATCATTCGACTTTTTTGCTTCGAAACCACCACAGTGAACGAGCCCCCCGACAGCGGAAAAGAAAGGCTCACCCACATGAAGGCCACCCAGGTGACTGATGCTCAAAGTGGAGAGCAACTCACCTCCCCAGCTTGTTATGGCCAATGGCCATATATGGCCAGCTTTGTCAGAATCCATGGCCACAATATGGCCACTCTGCAACGATGACGATGATGACGGCTGATGACTCTTGGGAGATCTTGGGAGCGCACTTCCATCGCTTGCATTCAGCTTCATGCCAGGCGCCTCCTCACAGCCACAGCCCGCATGGCATAGCCACTGCGGAGGATTCCACATCAGACCCGCAGCTGCAACATCGTTCCACATCTATCCAGAGCTCCTGTCTAGGAGCCAGGTCTCCTTGAAATGGAGCCCTGCAGGCATCAGTCACTGTGTGCAATGGATCAACGCATGGAATTTCAATGTCTGAGCTCCCGACACCAATGCGCCCTTGGGCAGATCTGCATCCAGAGTATCTGCACGGCGCTCCCGTGGATGCTGGTAGAAAAAAGCTAACAACATCTAACAACTCATACTGAGTCATACTGATAACTCCCTTGGATTCCACCGTCTTCCAACCACTCAGTCGACGTTAAATTTGCTCCTCAAATATCCTCAAAAGCTCCCACCCCTGCCTGTGCTCTCTGCCAGCCGGGCCAGCAAGCCGTCTTTGCACAATGCACGACCTGTGGCTCATCATCGGCTGGTCGTGATCTTGGTTTCTACATGTTTCCCTCCCATGTGGGCATATCTGAATTCTGGGACCCCAAACAGCTCCCAACTTTCTACTCACCCTGCATTTTCACCCTGAGTCTGTAGCTGGCCAGTCTGTTGCAATCACCCGCGCAGCCATTCCAATGTGTGTCGCATTGGACAAACACATGGCATCCTGCTGCACCTGGGTGGCGGCCCAGCGCTGCATCCGATTCATTGCCCAAAGGAGAACAAGCTGAGACGACCACGACCTCCTTCAGCTGAAGCCTGCGGAATGCACTGCGGTCTGACTCTGATGTCAGGGTACACACACACACAATCACACACACAGGGTATATAGCATATAGATGTATATATATATAGTACAGTATGAATGTAATTGAATGTATGGATATATAATGGTACATAAGTCTTACTATAAGTCTAACCCAATAGTTTCAGGCCCCCACTTCTTCCTCTTGAAGTGAGGAACTTATTAATTGTGGGCCACGTACTCTTTTGACACCCTAGCAGTCCTAGCACATCTCCTTGCATCCGGTACTGAAAAAATACACATCCTAACCTAAGGTCCTATGTAATGTACGCCACATATGTCAGCAACTCGCACCATCTCGAGCCCAGCCTGAAAGAAGTCAGCCAATCGCCCGAAGGCCAAGATCTCGGCAGGCTCATGGCGCCGCAGTTGAGCGCTGGCACGCTGCCAGTCCGCAAATTCGCGAAGGGCTCGGCGCGTACCAGCACCTAGTCATGGATCTCATGGGTGGCCATGTAATGTGTGGGCAAACAAAAATCCACCAGTGGTAAAAACACATATCTGTATCTTGGTGCAGGGCTTGGAGTTTCATACTCCCTGTCCTTGGCTGCTTCATGGCCCATGGATACCAACAGTGTCCGCAAAAGAAAGCCCAGCTTTGACAGCAAGCTGGCCCGTGGCGGGTCATGCAAATCTGTGACCCCGGCAATCAAGCAAATTTGTGCTATGCGAACATCCGCCTGCAGCTATGAGGCTATGAATTTATATTCCATTGCCGATCCGACCCGTACTCTTCTATTTTAGCATGCGCCAGGAGAGTGGCGCCTCTTCCCTCAGCCTCTCCAGCAGTTCCTTCAGTTGGCTGCAGTCCCACTGGCAGCACTCACTGGCACATGTTGGCAACAACCCTGTGAGCACCCCTCAGCAGTCCAAATCAAAGAGCAGTTCGCCACTGCCCAAGGAAGCGTATCGCAAGCCTGGTATCGAAGTAGAACACTTGCATCTGTGTCAAATCCGGCAAATATTGAGCAAGGTGCAATACGAAAGTGGCCTTCTGGACCCCACCAGCATGTTCTAGCGCGGACCTGATATTTCAATCCATCTTTTGTAGAGCCCATAGTCTCTTGTTGTCAGAAGAGGTCAGGAAGTGTAAGCGGGTTTGAGTTTCACCCAGCCCATGGCCGCATCTCGTACTTTCGACACCTTGGCCGCTGGCCGCTCCCACCTCTGAAGCAAACAGTACAAGTGCAAGTGAGGGCCCGACGATGAAATCCCGAAAGCCTGCGCGAACCTGCCAAGGCCGTTGCTGCCAAGGCTTGCAAGGGCTCTCATATTTTCATATGTATATATATATATATGTTCAATACAGTTGAAGAGTTTGGCCATGTTTGGCCTCTGGATGTTTCAAACGATGAGCGGAGCAGCTCGGATGCCCGCACCTTGGAGCCAAATCAGGAAGCACATTGGACTCGTCTCAACCACCAGCAGCTATGAATTCAAACCCGCATCCCTATGCAGCCTCTGAGAGAGGGACTCACCCAAGCCGCCCAGCGGCGTCATTGGACCCACATGGCGAATCACCTCAGCAACCCGCCAGAGGTTTCATCATAAGGCTTCATCAGGCTTCACTGGGACAAGTGCTCCTTGGCAGTCCGCCAGCTCCATCGGACATCTGCCAACCTCACTGGAAGACTTTGCCAGCTTGCAGTGCATGCTGCTTTTCCATCTTGTCAGTTCGTTATTTATGGGTTCACAAATTGATTTTATTTCATTACAGGTGGGAAAAACATGGAAAAACGGATCGAGATCTCGGCGAGCTGATGCATCACAATCCTCACCTAAAGCTTTATCCCCAGAGCTTCATGAAGGGACCAAGCTTGACATGTGGAGTTGGAAGCCCGAGTTGCCCAAAGATCCCAAAGAACGAAACTGTTGCTGGTTCCAACTGATTCCCACCTTGTCGCGGCTGCCGCAAGACTTTGCCACACGAGCTGCCTTCCCTCTGCAGTACCGAAATGGCCTGACATGACGTGGAGTTTGGTATCCTTGAGATCCTTGAGTGGGAGTGGTCCAAGTGGTGGCACATAATTAATGCTACATACTGGGATGCAAGGCAAGCGGGAAATCATCCAAGTTCACTCATCTTGCCATTTGCGCAACTGGACGCTTTTTGCAGCCTGCCATCTCCTGTGAAATCAAAATCGGCATCTTCTGCAGAATCCTCGGCCAATCTCGGCCATGCTGTAGGTTGTGAGCAGCAAGTCAGTCCCCCAGTTCTTGTCGGCTCAAAACTGTTCAGCCGTCTGAGCTGAGCTGAAAAGGCAGGATGCAGCAGGTCACAAGAACGTCACTGCGTCAAGTTCTGAGCTTACAACCTGCTCCTGACATGGACGCGGAGCAGCCTTGCACATATGCATTCTTATGCTCTTTTTCGTTTGCGCCGGGACATTCAGAGGTGTTGTCAATTGGGAATTCCAGGATCCTAAAATGGAGGTACTGTACCATATAAGGCCATATTTTGTGGGGATATTCCCTTACATAGGCCATAGGCCTTATATATGGTAGGTACCTCCAATCTAGGATCCTGAAATGGCCATTGATGTTAAAAACAGCATGGTGTGGGTGACTTCTGTTCTCTGTGCTGTGTTTTTCAGATCCCTACGCTGAGTTTGGCACAGCCCGTGTTAGGTCGAGCTCTGCGTCCTGTGAAAGAGCCCAACTGCAGGTATGGAGCAAAATCTGCCACATTGATGATCTCCAGGGTTTAGTCCAACAGGATTCGCTGCAGTAATCAAACCATATCCAACCTTTTCACTTTTCGCTTGGTGTTGGCTCCCTCATTATTTGCTGCTTCTTTGCGTTTGTCCTGAATTCATCTTATGATCCTGATCCTGCTGCTTCTCATGCTGTGATTTCGGCCCAAAGGGCCTTGTCTTCTGCCGGCGCCAGGGTTCTGTCGTAAGCCCAGCCTGTGAAGTCAGGGAAGTACAACGGGCAAAAATGCGCACGCACGTGATCTGACACAGCCCCATGTCCCAGCAATTACTCCCTGTGACGCCTCTCACCTTTCAACGATTCTAAGTAGGGTTTGCAGTTTGCAGTGTGTTTTAGGCTCCGAATTACCCAGTAAGCCGGTTTCAATTGGTAATAGCTGTGGACAACTTGGGGCCCCAAACGTTGGGTCGGGCATGAGAGCACTGCGTGAGCCTCGTTGAGCTGGGCCTTGACACTGCAGAACAAACACAAAGAAACGTGATACGAAAGCAACTGTAGAATTGCAAAGGCATCACTCTCTCTCTCTCTCTTTCGATGTCTCAGTCTTTTCTTGTCCATCAATAATCTGTTGCCACCCTGAGGACACTTGCATTGGCCCATGCCTGTATATTGATATTGCATGGTATTGCATGGTTTTGCAACAGAGCCCCCAGCAACAAACAAACCAATACACATCCTCTGAAACCGAAAGCTGAAAGATCCTGGCCATAACCCGCTCTCTAGCTGCACGTGTGGCACGGTCAGAAGCTGCCTGGGAAGTCACTATTGCCAGCATCTGGAGGTGCAACAGGGGCAGCCCAGGGCCTTGTCCGGGTGGTACAGCTTGCACAAAACCTGCGAGCGCTTGTGACATCTTGTGACAAAGCCACTTGATGTCCACACTTGGATATCCTTCCATTGCTTGCGAACATTGCCGTTGAACTTGCAGAGATTTTCCCAATGTTCAAAGCTAAAGGCATCTAAAATCACCCAAAAACAAAAAAATGCAATAAGGTGCTCTGCCATCTGACAGCCCCTGTCTCATTGCATTGAGGTGCTTGCAAAAACGAGATGCTTTGTTGATTTGTGCTGATCTGCTCCACTACAATACCTTCCCGTGTTTGAGCTATATACAAACTGTCCTTGCTTCTGTTCCGTTGCATCATTCTGTAGTTATATTATAGCTATAGGCTATATCACATGCCATATGCAGTCTGGACAGTATGTACGGGTACTTTATCACCACCCGTTGAGACCCTCCCCCGCGCTGGACCTTAAAGGCCTGACCAATTTCCTCAGGCTTTGCCGTTCGTCGAAGTCCCAGGACCTTGGTGGTTATATCGCAGCTCCAACTGAAACAGAAAATGCCTCACAAGCACTGAGAACTGGGCTGAATAATGTGTTGCTGTGGGCCTTGGAAGCTGTAACATCTTTAAACATGCTGACTTTCTCATGTTTCACCAGCAGTCTCAGTCTATTTCCAAAGAATCTCAGCACTTTGATAAACCATGATAAACCCTTTTGGAAAAAACTCGGGCAGCTGCTCTTGCAGCAATTGCTGATGCTTTCGCAGCAATGCTCTGCTGCGTCGCTCATGTTCTTCGTGTTCCTGGAGCCATGATGAGCCAGGGATGGCCACCAGGGATGGCGCGGATGCCGCATGCCAGCCTTGTCCGTGGCCCTCAGCTGCTCCTCCAAGAGGAGTCGTTTCCTGCGCTCTCCAGACGTCTCCTTGTGTCGGGATAGGCCTGGACAGCGCAGGAAATCAAGGGATCAAGGGAATCAAAGTAAATACAGAAACGGACAGACCGGCCTGTGGTCTTCTGATCCTTCCATGGCGATGCCACCTCCTCTGCATCATCCTAACAGCAAGTGAGCATTTCTGGTGTCATCATGTGGATGCGTTCGACAAATCGGATTCCTGCTCCAAAGCAAACCGCTTTTGAGGGACGAGGGGGTCCAGATCTTTTTCATATTCTAGTGACTTCTAGTCACTTCTAGTGAGGGGTTTGAGACGGTCCTCTGAGTCATTCAAGTCTTCCAAACCTAGTGCGAGTCTCTGGTTAACATCGGATGGAATCTGAACATGTTGAAAGTGATTCATATTACCCAGTTGTTTTCTCAAGTGCTGAGGACCTCACGCTTTTCTGCTCGGAACTTGGATGGCCCCCGGTACAGCAACACCTCAAAGGTATTCTAAAGGTAACCACAGGATACCACAGGTCACATTTTTGGATCGCATCCGATTTATTTGCGGAGCTTTGCATTCAAACTCTTGCGTCCCCTGCCTTGCACCCATTCACCTCCAAGGGGAGAAAGCGATCTCCAACCTTATACAGATCATCACAACCACAAGCCTATAGACACAACAATAGTAAGGATAATCATATAGTCATATAGCAACACCACATTTCATTGTTTGTCACTGTTCTTATCATTCTTATCCATGTCAGATACTATCCTATCCCCCTGAACTACTAAATAAATCTAGATATATATTATATAATGGATTATAATGGTTTCTATTGGTTTCTATTTTTTTTGCTAAACGCCCATCCCATGCTATCCCAGTGCTCTCGCCGGCCGAGATCTCAGGGCTTCACCTTGACCCAGCCGTTGGATGCCTCTCCACCGACAATGGCGCCCCAGGCTGCAACGGGGCGTTTTTCATCCCCTCAGTCAGGCTCTGATGGCTTGGGATGGGAAATGAACCATCAAAACCATCAAAAACCAACATACATACTTACATTACCTTACATAACATAACATGACAAAACATAACATACCAGCGACCTCACCAAAAATGTTTCCCTGATCTTGGACCAATCCATTACCAATACAGGGACTGAGCAACAGTCTGTCGTCGAGTCGGCGGCTGAAACGGTACGCAACACCTCGATAGAAGTGTGGATTAGAAAATCCTGACCAGTTGGCAGGTATGAGACTTGAAAAAACATGAAAAAATCAATTGACGTGGATTGGCAGCACAGGTAAGGGGCTGTGAGGTAGTTTCAATTCAAACACGGTCATCTGGCAGGTGGCCTCATGTGGTTTCAAATGGCAAGTGGATTAATATGATTTCATGCATCCCTGTACGTTCTTAAGCATCCTGACCGGGAGCGTCAGCTTGAAGCTCTGTGTTGTCAACCTCAGTGAATAACACCGTTACAAAGCACATCAAAGCACTTTACCAACTTTTGATCATGGCAATCGAACTTTACCATGCTTTACCAACGTGCATCCGCTGCACTCTGAGAAGGGTTCGATATACTCATCACATTTAGCTTTGCTGGCCTGCGTTTGCAAGGAATAGCCCCCACTCCCAGTTTGAGCTGCACTTTGCTTGCCGTTCTGCACCCTCAAAATCCAATGTGACACCTTCAAAAGCGATTTCCAGCTTCCGGGCTTGCATCAGTTTTTGCAAGGGTTGATCATGTTGATCATTGAACCCATGTCTTACAAATATGCAAAGAAATATAATCAATATGTACGTACTGTACGTGTATATGTAATTAGGCATATGATGGCATATGTGTATACACGATTATATACGTCTGGATGGATGATACATGCATGCCAAATCTTTAGGTAGGTTGGTTGGTTGGTAGGAAGGTGGGTATATTTTAAAATGTCGAGAAAGGCATGATGCGCACACACACAGAATGTATTTAGTATAAAGACGACTTTAATATACATCCCACATGCGCATACAATCTTGCCGAATGGAGGTGCGGTTCACTGGTTGGTGGTTTGAACATGTTTCAACATGTTCCTCGATGTTCCTCGCAAACACAAAAAAAAACGTCAACATATTCTGATTGTTTGGGGCTACACGACCCCTACTGGGATGCAAGGCTGCCAAATGCAAATACGGGGCTGGCTGTTTGGACTGAAGGGGCTGCTGTATGAGCGAACGCAAGGGTTGGCGTGGACATGACTTTTAACCCCCGGGGTCATATTCTTTCCTGGGTGGAACAGTCAAACCACATGACATAAAACCTTCTAAACTTTACAATTTTGGTCATCGTTGAATCGTTCCCACTGTCATCGCATCATGCCTGAGCAGGTCTGATGATTGTCTCGTCTTCGTCCAGTTCGTTCTCGCTAAGGGTGTACCTACTGATGCAGCCCGCAGAGCACCTAGCTTCACCCCGAGAGGCTTCCAAAGGAGTCAGAAATATGGGAGATATGAGAGTCATCAAGATGGCAACCACTACATCCATCTAAAGGGGTGGCTATCGAATAGGGTGATGTTGTCCCTGCACAACTGGTTTTGATACTTTTTTTTGGGGGGGATCTAAATATCAATATCAAAACTATGGTCGAGTCTAGCGCCAACGTCAACTGATCTCGAAAACTGTTTGAGCCCTTCCGAGAAGCACTGGCCATAGTCGAGATAATTGTCCTGCAGCAAGTGGCAAGGAGCTTGACCAAATATATAAAGTTCAAGGTAGTTCAAGTATGTATGAACTGAGTCCACAGTAGCCTCTCCATTCTCTCTCCCTTTGAAGTGCATTTTATATCAATTTATCAGATTTATCGAGATAGATTTATCTTGGAGCGAATAGATGAGAATGGATGTAGATCGTGGTATTAAACAACATCTGGCCAATTTCTTGCGGCCTCATCTTCCTGCTCATCCAACTTTCCGCCTCAGAACTCACAGGAGGATCACAATGTGACTCTTCGCCTTTCAATCTGAGAGAAGTGGTGCGATCATTGAGATCCCAGCCAAAGTATGAGAATGCATAGGGAGAATTGAACCTCATGAACGTGGTAAATGTTGGGGGCCTTGGACACCTTAACATAGCAAGAGTTCTCAAGGGACATCAAGTTCATGATAATCCATCATCATCCAACATAATTGAAGATATCGGTATCAAAATTGGGCCTGTGGGAAGACACCACCCAAACTGAGCATTACTTTGCGTGGCTGAAGATTGCTCCACTGGCTGCCGATGGCCAAACAACTCAGCATTTTTCTTCTCCGCTTCGTCCCCCCAGGTCTTCCACTTCGTTATTGCCTTGTCGGAGGCATGCCAATCTCATCACCAGGCGCGTCTTCGTAATTGATGGCATAGCTGGAAGGCCAGGCTTGCTGATTGGAACAAATGCTGCCGGCGCGACAAGTCCTTCTCCAGCGCACTGCAGTGGAAGAGTTTAGTAAAGGCTCATCTTTTGAAGCCCCATCTCCGTCTGAGACAGCTGGTGCAAACGCAACCTTGAATGCACGAGCTGTTTTCAGCACGGGATAGCACTGACAGGTAACTCAGAAAAACTAATTTTGCCACGCCCAGCTAAGTGCACATTAGCCTAAACGCAATGACTTCAGCGACCCTGGCTACTGCCCAGCCGGGACAGAGATACATGCAAGCGAGCATCCGGGACCATGACGGCCAGTTGTGCCGCCGTGATAGCCGCTGCTGTTGCCAACTTCTTGCACTTCTTGATGTTCCTGATTATTCGCATCAAAGAATCAAAGGCACATCCCCGTTCGTGCGTATATACACATACAAACGTGCCAGCGTATACGTGCATAATTGTGTATATCTATGTGTCTTTATGTGTCTATTCTAAACAATATTTGTAAATTTTATCATCAATCTACTTATTTGAACACGCACGCACACATGTCAACCTGCAGTAAAGAAATCTACATACAGGAATGGAATTGTGCACTGATGTGCACTGATTTCACGAGCTCAAGACCGCCTTGCAACATCTGCAAGGCGGATTTGCCAAGCTACTGTCTTTGCATTGGAGACTTCAGCACGTATCTCAGGCATCAAATGTCTCTCATGCATCATAGCTATCTCAGCGTTCGCTTTCACCAAACCCAATGGGTCTCCATCTTGCTGCATAGGCGGCTGATTTCGATCGGCAGGTGCATCCGCGACAAAGTCTGGTCGGATCGATGTCCAAAAAGTCAAGACCTCAAGACTTGCCAGGGCCCACATGTCGTGATTGGTCAGCACATGTCAGCACTGTCATTCTAGCAGTGGAAACATGTCAATATAGTATAATATAGTAATATAATTATGTCAATATTCCTTCATAGATCAATGGGGGGGACCCAGGAAGGGTTCCAACTGGCTCTGAATCGTGCTGTTCACATTCATCATCGATATGTTTGGTGCCCCAAATCTTGTCAAACTTTGACCCGCATTTCATCTTGTATGGGCAAATGATGGCGAGTTGGTCCCTCCAGGGCACACCATGCACATCTGCTGAGCTCCCAAACTCTTGGTCGCAGCATCTCGAGGCCTTCAAGCCTGCAATGTCTTACCGGTCTGTGGAGCTATGGACCCTTGTGGGACAAGTGCCACCTGAAAGCAACAAACCAAAGCATACCAAAACCACATCTGTTCCGCATTCCAACAAAAACATAAAAAACATGCCGCTGCAAATTCCGGGCTACGTGTCACATAAGCCCCCGAGGCAATCGGACCCGGGTGTGCCAAACACTCCGGCAATACAGGAAGAAGTAGCATCGGCATCCAGAAGCGCAGCTGCCAGAAGGATGTCTGCCCCGTCCATCAAAAACTGCTCAATCAACTTGGTCTTATTGCTGTGCTGTGCCACAAAGCTGGTCAGAAAGAATTGAAATTTCCGAAGAACTTCAAGACTTTCTTGCCCATCCTCTGTTGGCTTAAACTGGGCCAGCTTCTTCCCGAGGTCTTGAAATCGATCCCAGGCAAGCACTACTGCTTGGTGCAGCTTCACTCGTGTTGCTGATAAACTGGCCTTTGGGGCAACGGAGTCTCTCATTTCTGCATCGCTATCTTCAACCTGTCGCCTTGCACGGATCAGCTGCTCGATTTCCTCATCCGTATCATCACCGTCATCACCATCGGATGCCTTGGGTTCTCGCCGTGTACGAGGCTTTGAAGCAACACCATCAGGAATTAACAATCCCTTCATGTCTTGAAGCAGCTGGAACTTTTGCTGATCACCACCCTTATCTGGGTGCAACTCCAGTGCCCGTCGCTTAAATGCCTTGCCAATGGCTGAGGTATCGGAGGTCTGGCTGATCCCAAGCACTTTCCAAGCCAGGTGTTCTTCCAAGAAACGCAAGCGAGCTTGCATTTCTCCCTGCCACTGCTGCAACTCCAGCACCTGCTGGGCCATCTCTCCTCGATCTCCATCTGAAATGTCAGCCTCGGAAGTGTTGAGCTCTTGCACCAAGTCTTTCGGATTTATTTTGGAGATCCGCAACGGCCATTCTCCAAGTTTTTCGCATTCGCCCCTTTCCTCCAAACCTGTGATGAACAGATGCTCCAAAAGAGGCCAGCCGAAGAATCCCACAGGCAGTGCCAGCTCCCACGGTAGGGCCACTAGCAACTGGGACAGCAACGTGTTAAGGGGTCCACCGTCACTGACCTTGCCACTATGGGGATCTGCCACCAACCTGGCAAGGATCAGTGTGGAAGCAAGAGTACATCAGCACCATTTTTAGATACTTTTGGGTACTTTTGGCAGTTTCAGTTTCAACCAGTGCAGTGGCTTCATATTGTGGTTCATGCGGCTTTACCATGTTTTGCAACATGATGGCATGAAGGAAGAGAAAAGGGCGAGCAACGATTTCGGTTCGTTTGATTCATCTTTGCAATCTTCTTCGTCGAGTTGTCCAAGCAAATCGGTCAGAGATGGAATGAAGTCGCCATCAGACATCCTTCAAAATGCAGCTCACTTTGATAACCAGCTTTGAGGCTCTTTGCCATACTATTGCTTTGATTCTTTTGCAATTCTCTTTGTGGTTTCGCCACGGGTGACCAGGTCGGTGACCAATGACTTGTTTCAGATAGGTTGAGAGTGGCCTGTGCCATAAGTAACATGGTTTTGACACTGCTGGCTCTTGTTTGAGCTGCTCTCGGGCAGTTGCTGCACCATTTGCTAGCAGCCAAAATGGCAATCGCCAACGTAGCACAAAATACCACAAACTTGGCAGATAAACACTGGCGCAGATCCTCAACTTGTATTGTAGAGTCTTGGCTTGAGTTGTGCATACATGATCATACATGTGCATATATGTGGATACATGTGCATACAAAGTGACTGGACATACTGACTGGTTATTTGGCTTCGGGCACAGCTCGCTCAGCTTCGCTCAAAATTGACCTGAATTTAACAGAAACACTGCCGAGTTCAAGGCTCTCCGTGAGGAGGATCTCTTCCTTCAATCTACGACACTGTGCACCAATGCAACACCTGTAGGGGCACCTGCCTGCACTTTTAGCACTCTGAGGAAATGACTGATTCTCATAGCCAGACTTGGTCTCTGCTCGAGGGCCAGCTTGCAGTAGCGCAACCGCAGATCCCTGAACTTTATGCACTGGCCATCACATTGAATGAAATACACCATAATACACCCAATGCAAACTACACCCAGCAAGCGGTGCACCATGGCTTCGACATGCCCTTTTGCGGTTCCCAATCTTTTGGCAGCAAAGCAGGTCACCGGCATCGCCGCACAGGTCTCTACACGCCCCTCTCATTGCCCTTCACTTCTGCTTCTGCAGGGTTTCGAGGGCCTTCACAGCTGCCTCGGGTTTGGCCATGGTCAACTCGGAGAGCTTCTGCATAAAGAGGCCGCCATCATGGAGCCTGGTCTCCAAGGTGGACTGCGTCCCCTGCAAGTGTTTGTCAGCTGTCTCCAGCCTGGTATGATAGGATTGCATCTTCTCAAGAGTCTCTGTCAAGACCTTGTTCTGTGACAGCAGGGCATTATGCCGCTTCACACCAGCTTGGAAGTCTTCCATGAACAAACTCTTCAATTTCGCCTCACTGTCCTGTCCCTGTTTCTTCATCATCTTCACCTCATTGGCCAACATCGTCAGCAAGTTTTCAGGCTCTGCTGGCTCTGCTGGCTCTGGCTCTGAGGTTTCCTTGACTTCGTTGACCGTCTCATGCAGCTCGGAGATGGCCAAGAAAGACAGGGCCTTGGAAGATTTGGACTGATCTTTCATGACCTCCAAGTCTGTAGCCTTGCTGTCATCAGTCTGGGAGAGTGTCTCTTTCAAGAAAGTCTGGGCAGCTACCAGCTGATCCTGCAGCATCCTAAGCTCTCCATGACGGAGTGAGTTGCCCTTCTCCAAATTTTGCGCATGCTTCAGCAGCTCCTCGTTCTCCTGCTTCGTCTTCATGATGTTCTTAGCAATGATTGCATTTTCTTTGACCTGTTCCATATTCTTCTGCTCTTGTTCCTTCAGCTTCCTGTCGAACACGGCCTTCTGCTTCTGCATCCGCGCAGCATTTTCTTGTTGAACCTCCAGCATCTGTTGTTGCAGCTTCTGTGCCCGGCTGCTGATGCCACTGAGTGTCTTGGTGGACTGATCCAACATGGCTGACACTGTGGGCAACTCTGGGAAGCCGCTCTTCCCGGCCGCCACCACATTTGGTACAGCAGGCAAGGCCACTTCTTCGGGATTTGGTGGCGCCTCCTTTCGCACCTGGCTGATGGCACAAGTCGCCACCAGCAGGCTCGAAACCAGCAGCTCCGTGAACTTCATTGCGCGATGCCAAAGGTACCGACTCTGCCCTTCAGCAAACGTGGCTAAGGTATGCTAAGGTGACATTCCAGCAATGACTGGTGGCATAAGGGACTAATTAAATGCAGCTCTCTTGCCATGAAAGCCTGTGGTAACACTTGGAAGGTAGTGGCATTCTCTCAATTGCCAAGTCCATCCTACCATTTCCAAGCGCTACGCATGTCAGGACTGATAAACAAATTGTGTTTGATCTTTTCAGTCACAACTGGTTGTACTATGAAATCGTCACCAACATGTAACATGGGGATCCCCAGAATTCTCCAGCAATCTCAGGATATGACGCTGTTCTGCCGCTCTTGGGCTAAAGCTTGCGCAGCGGTTGCCTTAAAGGCAACTGGACAAGAGAATAGGTGCCCTTGTCAAGGAAAAAGGGAATGGGACCTGGGAATGTTGATTCAGCCGGATATGGGGATGGAAATTCCCACTGTAGAGATACCATCCCCTCAACATCGCCCAACATCACGAGGCTCAGGCTCGGATGTTTGCGACCGCCGCAGCAGCGATTGCATTGGCGCTGGCCGTCATCCAGTTATACAAACCTATAAACTGCTTATCCAATCTGCAACTAAAGCTGGAAACTGAGGAAATCCGCCACTGATAGTGGTTTTGCACCTAGGAAACGGATGGAACATGGGGAAGGGATCGCTGGCCCCTGAGCACTAGGCAGAAATAGTATGTTGCTAATATTGAGGCAACATTGCTGGGTACTTACTTCCGAAGCTCCCCTTTCGTGAGGGAATGTGCAAAGCAGTGTGGTGGCACAAGGAATTCCAACGCACAGGGTCATAGGGAGTCATACGAGTCAAGTCATTGGCGGGCAATCGAGTGCTGCTCAGCTTGTTCTGATTCATGGGACTGGTGATTGTTCTTGACTGCATCTTCCGAGAAGATGCGCCACACTTGCAGGTGACCACCTGGGTTGCCATTGTTTAGGCTCAGCCCTCTGAGCCAAGAATAGTTTTCCTGCCGGTCCCGGTGGCCGTGCCTGGCCTCCATTGTCCAAAAATGTTCAAAATCACAACCACCAAACTCAACAAAGCAACTCTTCACAAGCCTCCATACATACCGAAATGCTCATGAAGATTCATCATGAAGATACATTCATGGACACCAGCGGGAGCTGCCCTTCTCCAGATTCAACTTCATTCCCAACAACTAGCACGGAGGTGCGGGAACGTTCTTTCTTGGGCTCAGTGTGGACAACGTGTCCCAACTCTCAAACTATTCATCGAAGACCTTACCGCTGACCACATTCTTCACCGCCTGACCTTGGATGGCCGACAAAACCAGAACTAGGCCTGTTGGCAATCACACAACGGTTTGAGCAGAGACAGTTCTGAAATTTTCTGAGCGGCTGACTATAAGCCAGCTAAAACCGTGACATGTGCATATAATTGTGACATGTATGAATCTTATGTCTCGATGTATATAATTATATAATTATATAAATCTCTCTCTCTCTCTCTCTCTCTCCATCTGTTCATGTGTTCATTTTTTTATTGCTTTATTTATTTACTTATTTTTATCTATTTGTTTGCATTGGAAGAAAAGTAATGGATATATGTTGCAGGTTAGCGTGCATATTAACATGCACACACACATTTTATCATCAAAATTATTGTTACCAGTAGTACCGCACAAGGCGGCGGCGGAAGTTTCAGAATAGGAAACCTATAGGAGACGTTGGTTGTTGTGAATCACGGATGGCAGAGCGAATCCACTGATTGACCGAAAGGTGGTTGGAGTTGTGTTTGCTGGAATGGTTGCAATGGTTGCAGTGGTCACCTCACCCACAACTGCTGGATGTAGTGTGATGTACTGCAACTGTAGTTGTAGTTGTAGCGTAGTGGAGTTGTAGTTGTGGTGTAGTGTAATTAGTGTAGTGTAGTTGCAGTCATATAGTTGTAGATGTAGTTGTTTTGTAGTTGTAGTTGTAGTTGTTGTAGTTGTAGTTGTTGTTGTAGTTGTAGCTGTAGTTGTTGTGTGGTTGTAGTTGTTGTGTAGTGTAATAGTAGTAGTAGTAGTAGTTGTTGTTGTAGTTGTTGTAGTTGTTGCTGTTCTACTAGTAGTAGTAGTAGTAGTAGTAGTAGTAGTAGTAGTAGTAATAGTAGTAGTAGTCGTTGTTGTTGTTGTAGCTGTAGTTGTTGTAGTTGTAGTTCTAGTTGTAGTTGTAGTTGTTGTGTAGTTGTAGTTGTAGTTGTAGTTGTAGTTGTTGTTGCTGTTGTTGTTGCTGTTGTTGTTGTAGTTGTTGTAGTTGTAGTTCTAGTTGTAGTGTAGTTGTAGTTGTTGTAGTTGTAGTTGTTGTGGTTGTTGTTGTTGTTGCTGTTGCTGTTGCTGTTGTCGTCGAAGTTAGGGTAGTTAAGTTAGTGAAGTTAGTTAAGTTAGTCAAGTTAGTTAAGTTAATCAGTGTCTACTTTTTCGACATCTTCACGTCAAAAAAGGCTCAAAACCCTCAGTTTTTTACACATTTGACTTCGAAATGTGCTTCGCGCCACAACGGCGTGCACTTTTTCGACACTTTTTCGACATCTCAACTTCCAAAAGTGGTCCGAGACCGCCAGTTTTTAACAATTTTGACTTGGAAATGTGCTTCGCGCCACAACGGCGCGCACTTTTTCGACATCTCAACTTCCAAAAGTGGTCCGAGAATGGTGTGTTTTGTACATTTTGACTTCGAAATGTGCTTCGCGCCACAACGGCGTGCACTTTTTCGACATCGCAACTTCCAAAAGTCGTCCGACGCTGAGGTGTTTTGTACATTTCGACTTGGAAATGTGCTTCGCGCCACAACGGCGTGCACTTTTTCGACATCGCAACTTCCAAAAGTGGTCCGAACCCCTGGTGTTTTTAACATTTTGACTTGGAAATGTGCTTCGCGCCACAACGGCGTGCAATTTTTCATCGCTCCTGTGACCAGCTGGCTCCGCACCCGCCGCTTTAGCGAGCCTACTTTTCGACCCTCCTGAGCCACAAATCATTGGAAAAACACAGTGTTTCGCGACTTTCCTACCTTTTCGCGCATCTGTATCTTCTTTCTTCTGACTCTTTCTCTTCTCATCTTCTCTCTTCTAATCTTCCTCTTCTCTCTGCCTCTCCCCTACTCTGCTTTTCATCTGTCCATAT